GTTTTTTTTTTTTTTTTTTTGTTATTACTAGTGGAGTGATATTGCTTTAAGTCTATTCTTATGAATTATAATTTCTTTATTGTTTTTATTACTATTTCCTATGCTATGCGGTATTAAAGTAAAATTGTTGTTCTCATCGATATTTTTAACTTTGTAGTATCCGTTATATCTATTTTCTAACTTATGGGAGGCCTCTTCTCTAACTAATACTAAATCTCCTATGTTTATTTCCTTACTATAGCTACTTTTATCATAATTTGTTTTTTGTTTTTCTTTAGCCTCTTGGACTAATTTCCTAGCTCTTTGCTGTGCTATTTGAAGTCTATATTTTACTTCTTTGTCATAAGCTTCGTGATTGTACAATGGGCTGATTTTATTTTCTTTTAAAAAATCGTAGTTCGGTGGGTTTTTTGCAAATATTAGTTCAAAAGGACAATATTTATGTGTGGTTGATGGCGTCGTATTGTAACAATACGTGAAATACCTGAGGTATTCATCCCAATCATCTTTGTCACTGGATATGTATGAACGTATATATTCATTGAATGTCCGGTGACTGCGTTCTACAGTACCCAAAGTTTGATGATGATACGGTGTTGAAGTTTTATGTTCAATTTTTAACAGTTTACACAGTTCTTTGAATAAGTTGTTTTTGTATTCTGTGCCCATGTCCGTCATTATTGTATTCATGCGTCCATAAATCAAAATGAAATTTTCGAACACTGCTTTAGCGACTGTTGTTGCGTGTTTGCTTGGGACTGGGATCGCTACCAAGTATTTGGTTAGGTCACATATGATGGTAACTGCATATTCGTTTCCATTTATCGATTTCGGTAATGGTCCGACTGTATCGATTTGTACAATATCAAATGCCTTCGGAGGTGTCTCCGTTATTGTCATTGGTTCTTTTATATGCTTATTGGTCTTATTCTTCTTGCAGTGGATGCAGTTTTTTATGTATTTTCTTATGTCGTTTTTCATATTCAGCCAGCTATACTTCTGCTTCATTTTATCTGTCATGCGATTTATTCCTGGGTGGCCACCACTAATAGGATCGTCATGATATTTGTGCAGAATTTCTTTTATTTTCCCGGGATTTGTCACATATATAACCTCTGGGGTTAGAGCGATTGTTAGCTTTTTGAGAACTTTGTTACCCATTTCTATAAATTTGCCTACTGCAGTATAATTACTTTTAAACAATTTGTCCCCTAAGGACAACTGTATTTGTACAAGTCCTAAATTGCCGGCTTCTCTTTCAAGCCTGGTAAAGAATTGTCCTAGATCAATCTTATCCTCAACAATTAGGTTGCTTGTATCCAAAGTGCTACAAATTTTCTTTCCTTTTTTGAAATATAATTTCGGAGGAGTGAAAACGAGCTCGACATGTCTTTTTACTTCAAATTTATTTAGCCCTTCGTAAATTTTGGAGTTCTCTTTGTGACTTTCTTTATTTTCAGCATTACTGCTGGTCTGTTTCGCTGCTGATCTTGTTGTTATTTTTAATATTTTACTTGCTTCCACTGACACATCTTTTAAGTTTGTAATTGTTATGCGGGATAATGCGTCCGCAATATGATTTTCTTTTCCGGCTATATACTCCACTTCAAAATCGTACTCTTCTAAATCGAGTCTTACTCGTGTCAGCTTAGATGAAGGGCTCTTCATCGAGAATAGGTATGTTAACGGACGATGGTCAGTTTTAACTAGAAATTTTCTGCCATAAACATATGGTCTGAAGAAGGTTATGGCCCAATGGATTGCGGCCAATTCTTTTTCTATTGTGGCTTTGTTGGTTTCACCTTTGGTGAAGGACCTAGAAGCGTAAGCAATTGGTAACTGTTTGCCATTATGTTCCTGGCTAAGGACTGCCCCACAAGCGTACCCACTAGCGTCTGTTGTTATGCAGAATTCTTTAACGAAGTCTGGGTATTGCAAAAGTTTTGGACTAATTAATGCTTCCTTTAAATAGGCAAAAGCTTTTTGACATTCTTCTGTCCATTCGAAGGAAACATTCTTTTTGCAAAGCCTAGTTAATTTTCGTGAGTGTTCTGCGAAATTCGGTACGAATCTTCTGTAATAGTTGCAGAAAGCTACGAATCTCTTAACTTCATCCGCTGTTTTTGGTGTTGGGTAATTTTCAACTGTTTCAAATTTGCTCGGGTCGGGTAATATTCCCTTGTTTGTACATTTATGTCCTAAATAAGTTACTTCTTGGCTGAAAAATAGGCATTTATCTGGATGTAATTTTAGGTTGAATTTTCTGCAAGTGGAGAATACGTCTCTTAAATTTTTTAGCATGTGGTTTTCAGAACAACCTAATACAACTAAATCATCCACGTAGGGAAATGCTTGAGATGGCTTGAGGCCTGCAAATGCTAGGGTCATCATTCTTTGGAATGAGTTCGGTGCTACTTTTAATCCGTAGGGTAGTCTTTTGAATCTATATGTGCCATTATCGGCTGTAAATGAGGTTATAGCCCTGGAGTCGGGGTGTAATTCGATTTGATGAAAACCTGACATAAGGTCTAGGCATGAAAAATATTTTGCTCTTCCAAGTTGATCTAAAATATCGTAAATTCTTGGAAGTGGGAATTTGTCTGCTGCTAGCTTTTTATTTATCTGTCTGTAGTCTACCACTAATCTCCATCTTTTTTCTGTTTTACCTGGGAGTAATTTTTTACGGACTAATAAGATTGGGCTATTATATTCCGATATGGAGGGTTCTATTATGTCATCTTCGATTAACTTATTTACTTGTTTGCTTATTTCTCCTTTTTGCGTTTGAGGCAATCTATAATTTTTTATGTAAACAGGAGTGTCATCCTTCATGTATAATTTTTGTTTGTAGAAATTATTAGAGGAAATTGGTTCTGTTTCTAGTGCAAATATGTCTATGAATTCTGTGCATAGTGTTGTTAGTTGAGAGTTGACAAATTGTGGAAAGTTTTTTGTTAATCTTTTTA